TAAATATTATTTTAAAAATCAACGCAAACAAGAACATAAAAAATTTTAAAAAAAACAAGATGAAGTAGGATTCCAAACGACCAACGAAAATACGAAATGAAAATCCTACTCGTGACGCAAATTCTAGTATACATTGCAAGGTGATCCATAATTCTTACATAATAACATTAAAAGTACAATGTAGAGTAGAATATGCGTCACGAGTAGGATTTTCATTTCGTATTTTCGTTGGTCGTTCGAAATCCTACTTCATCTTGTTTTTTTAAAATTTTTATGTTCTTGTTAGGAATAGGAATTCATTATTTATACACTGTACACACACACAGACCATGATTATTATTAACTAAAGCCTGATTTACACTGCACAATTAAGTTAATACAGGAAGTGCTGTATAAACCAATGGCCACCATTTACGTCACGTAAGAAGAGATTAAAGGTAGATTTTACAATATGACGTTAGGCCTATGGTTAGGCCAACGTATTGTCAATTTTTAATCAAAAGCGTGGGGGATTTGACCTTTTGACGCATGCTTTTTGCTAGAATAAAACCAAATCCTATTCTGGCATCAATGTAACATCAAGCCTATTGTAGTATTGTAAATCCGCCTTAAGGTAGGTTTACAATATGATGCTAGGCCAATGTACCATCAATTTTTAATCAAAATCATGGGCAATTTGACCTTTTCATGCATGCTTTATGTTAGAGTTGAACCAAATTCAACTCACGCATCAAAATAACATTGGGACTATTGCAATATTGTAAATCCACCTTTATTTCGATTCTTAAGTTACGTAAACAGTGGCCATTAGTTTATACAGCACTTCCTGTCGTAACATATAGCCTTACCTTACAGTAATTGTGCAATGTAAATCTAGCTTAAGGTGAAGGGGAGAGGAAATAGAAAGGATAATATGCACACCTACAGCCTTAGCAACTTGTTTAATATTTTATAGAAATAAAATTAATAATAATGGTTTTGAATAACATATTTAAAAACATCATGTAGTCATGTTTTTTTCTAAAGTCTTCATTATTTTTAATATCATAGTTTTTGCCCAATCCTTTCCAACAATCATCACTTAACTTGTTATAGGATCATTCAGTTTCCCTTCCCTCCTGTCTCTAATAAATGAGTACTTTATGTATTCTTACTCTTCAAATCACTAGCTATAAGTACCTCCCTCAGCTCCTCCTCTTCCTTTCCTCCTCCTCCCCTCCTCTGATAACCTACACTACTGTACAGTCTCAAGCTTCTTCCTACAGATCTCTAGTGGTACATGTAACAATGAGTAATGGGACAAAGGAGGTAACACCTGTTTAAAGAGACTTAGTGTTCACATTTTATTTGAGGTTTTTGTATGTTTTAATTTGAAACTTGTGAAAACCTCGTAGCTTGTAGCTGATTAACAAACTCATAAGGTGATTTGACCTTTTGACCCTTGTTTTAAAAGTTTAACCAAATTGAACTCCAGTGTGAATGTAACATTAGGACTAGTACAATATTATAAGTCCATCTTTAGTTTATACAAAACGGATGTAAGGTCAAACCATTTTCACAATTAGTAGATGAAACCAATGACTATTAGCAACAACCCACTAATGTGTAACCAAGACATTACACATGTACTAATTTTAGCATTTATACTTAACATATTGCTGATACATTTGATAATATTATTAATTTGTGTCACTTTAATTTAGTGTTTTAATGTTTAACAATAATAAATAAATATAAACACGACTTAATTATAAACACAACTTAATCCTATTATAATAATATTATTTTAGTAGCTAAATAGTAGCAGCAAATTGATCTATGATAAAAAATGAGGGTCAATTTTTGAACATTGGCATATTCTTTAAAAGGCCATAGTGTAGTGTAGTTTAAATCAGTTTAAACTTTATACATAGTGTATTAAGTGTACAATAGATTGTAGAACACAATAAAAGGGACCTCCAGCAAATATATACTCACAGTATACATGTATTATGATGTATATATCAGGGTTGGGGCGAAGTACTAGGGTACTTATACTTAAGTCCAGTCAATCTAAACATGTTGTACTTATACTGATACTTTAACAATAGAGTGTGTACTTAATGTACTTAAGGTACTTACACGTATAAGTACTTTTAAGTACTTTTAAGTATTTTGAAGTACGTGTACATGTAAATATATTACAAATCTACAATGAGGTGTTACAGTACACAACACAGACACTAAGCAGGTGTAAATACAAAATACATAAGTGCATTAGTACCAAGACCACTATCAGTTGTGTATTGTATAACAGGGCATGCACATGCTGATATCACATGCTTCACTACTTCTGTCTTCTTTGGGTTTGAGTTCTATCTTCTTCAATCGAATTAGCAATGGAAGTTTTAGGAATACCAGCATCTTCTGCTGCTGTAGAAAGGCTATTTAGTATAGCTGGAAAGGTGTTTTGCCCTGAACGATGCAACTTGAAAGATTCTCAATTCGAGGAACTAATGTTTATTTGATGTAATTCCATGTAGAACAGCTAAAAATTAGTGGTTGTTGATAATTAAAAATGTAATTAGACACATTACTTTAATATTACTTTTATTGTACTTGTACTGGACTTAAGTACACATTCCAGTGCATATTATAGTATTTTAGTACTGTAGCAAGAAAACTATGTACTTGTACTTGTACTTAATTACAACATAATTATATATAAAAGTACTTCATCCCAACCCTGGGTATATATGCTTTTGAAATACCCTCAGGTCTTTGGCCCACTTTTCAGTTGAGCTTTTTTAACAATTTGACAATCCACTGAGAAGAAGCATGAGCACCTGTCCACCAATGCGAATACATTTGCCCACCAGTTCACATGATATGTATGCATTTACACTAAATACAGGCATAATGTGCTGACCACTAAATTGTACAAATTATAATTTGAGAATTTTCCACTTTTATAATATTTCTGATACATATGCATGTTCTTGTGTTGTGTATCAACTTTGGGTTATTCCGATGAAATTTGGATTTTGCATTTTTTGAAGAGTTTTAAAATTGCCTAAAATTGGGCCAATGGCCAAAACCTATAGCCTTAGTCATCTTCATTGTTATAATTTTTCTAAAGCCTATACATGTTCTTATGTTGTGTAGAAGGTTGAGCTCATTCCAATCATTTTTGAAGTTGAATCTTAGGCCTGTCAGCTCATAAAAAATCTTACCAGCTCCAGCTCACCATGCTTTGTGGTGGTAATTTGCAGCTTTAATTTAGGCTGAATTTTGTGGGCTTTAAATCTATGGCATGTCCTTAAGTGTTGAAAATTTTATTTTGTCAGAAATAAGTGCTCAAACTTTGTGGTTACTTGCCTTTATCTTTGTAATTCATGTAATGAATTTTTTTGAAAACTGATTAAAGTAGCCAAAAGTTATACAGAATGCATTGTACATGCAGCTCTTTAATAGATTTGTATTTTTATTGGTATTTTTTTTAATTTTACACAGAACTAATGTACTATATGTGACCATAATTGACAAAAGGGCCCTTATGGCGGATTTTAATATTGATCGTTATAATGGAAAATATTAACCTGTGAGTGCTTTGTTAGACAATCATTGTTTCTAAAAGTTTCATGGTAACTTTTTGCATCCTGTGGAGTAATTTTATGATAAATGGGGCTCAGGAAGTTGGATTTCTTAGGCTAGAAAGACAAATTTCTCTACCCGCCATAAGGTACCTTTTGTCAATTATGGTCACATATCATGTCATAAAAAAAGGGGAAAAGAAAGATACTTCAAACTTATTTGTGAAGCAAACCCTACAATGCTGACTTTGTGGTTAGTGAATAAAAATAATTTATTATCATTATTACACCCTAGGTATTTTTCTAATCTTGGTCTTCCATTACCAGTTCAGAAAGCAGCTAGCTTCCTTGCACTTGCAGAAAGCTGTTGAGCTTGACCTTGCTCCAGGGTATCAATCATGTTCAAGCTCATTCCATCATTTGTTATTGGTGAGGTGATGGCAAGGAATATTTTATGCATGTAAGTCAAGCCTAAGTCGTTTTTTGTCGCCTTGCTCCTCAAATTGATTTTATAAAGTAAACTTAGCATTGTAACAGCTGATGTTTTATTATTAAAAATTGTACTGTAGATTAGTCCAGAAGGCAAGGAGGGTAGGATTACACTAATGGAGTGTGCTAAATCAAGAAGTATAGTTTGAAAGATTACTTGACACTCAGGTTTGTTTTAGATGAAATTAATAAAATTATTTGTCATATAAATAAAAATACTTCCGTCTTTCGAGCATAATTTATTATTTATTTTTGTAGATACCAACAAGGCTTTACTCAACTTAATTCATCAAGGCTTGCAGACTCTAATTTGAAATTTGGATTGAAAGTTATTTAATTTTTAAGCATAATATTTTTTACTTTTTTGGCAAAAAATATAATTTTTACCACAAATAATTGTTTTGTATCAAGCATCAGGGGCGTGGCATGGGCGTGGTTGACCTTGCCTAAATTTTAACCACGTGGAGTCATGAGTGGTACGGTAATGATGAGTTGACAGTTTCCTCACCTTGCCCTTCCTTCTCTCTTTTTATAGATACTAATATTCTGGGCCTATCGTCTGGCTAATAACCTTTACTTGCTCCAAGTAGGTACAAGATCCCTCATTAATACAGTCCATCACTTTGTTTATCCCTTGGTTTATACAGTATCCATTTCACCCTGCCCACATTGCCATGTGATGGTAGAGACTAAAATGAGAGGAGAGCGTTTGGAGACGAGAATCAGCTTCAGAATCAGCTTAAAGACTTGAGCATCATTACTCACAGTCACAGAGTAAGGAAATGTAAATAAAGTACATGTACATGAATATCAGAATATGTAATAGTAATGCAGGATTCCTTTAATTTACGTTTTGACAAAATACCATGTACTATTTTGTGTGATTTTGGAGC